TGAGGGTTGGGAGAGCCATTACTATACTTGCCATTGTGATACCTGCACTTCCGCAGGCTTGAAGAGACATGGTACATTGATTCACAAACACACAAGGCTTAAAAAAACAACTATATCATCTTGTGTTTTTCTTTCTTTGTCGTTCTTCAGGTTTAACAGGATTTGGCAAGCACATGATGAAAACAGAGAGTAGTTGAAAACATCACTCTCTTATCTGTTTTTCCTCTATTCGAGCTGTTTTTGTTGTTGGGTTTTTTGGGGAATAAACAGGTATAAGGCAATAAGTTTATCTTTCAGAGGTCTGATTGCAATACGCATTAAAAAGCACGGTCGCAGAGCCTTTCTCTTCACGGTGGCCAATGATGCTTTGAAAAACAAGCAGATCTTCTTAACAGATGGGGAGAAAACCAACCCTGACCACAAAGACAGCCTTTGTCAGTGCTCCAATATCCCGTGACTGTCTGACAAATTCGTTGGACTTGATAAGGAGGTTTAAAAGAGCCCTGATCTTCTCTTGGGAACACTCATAAACTTCCTTGAATAGTGTAACTGGATCCCTCATGTTACGGACCCTGTAGAACAGCTGCCTTTCTTTCCTCATCAGCAGATACATAACAGCATCCAACTTATCCGATGGCTGACATCGATTGTGCCTAAGTACGTGTCGTGTGTGACAGAGGGAAAGGATGTGGGAGGAGATAGGCATGCTGAGGGAGAAGAGACTTTTTCCCCCCCAGTGTTCTTTGAGATAAAGATATAAAGTAGTGAGACAGTTTACAGCAGATTAAGGTGATTAGAGAAAACTATAATGAGGACAGAAGACATGGGTGAGGGGGGCTTTCATTGTGTTGTTCAGATAAACAACCTGTATGTGGAGAAGGGCAAAAACTAAACACTTTCAGGGTTACAGCAGAGGTGTACGTGTCCTGCAGCACGCTGGTTTGGAAGAAAGCTCCGCACTGCCTGCATCTCAAAAAAATCTGAATCATGGCAGGACACACATCATATTCACCTTTGCACCAATGCTGGAAATCAAATAATAAAATTACCAAGAAGATTAGTGTAACCAACATGAGGTCAATGAAAAGAAATTAAGTACACTGATGCTCAAATGTTTGGGGTTACTACAAATTCCCTGTTTTCATTTAAAAATAATAACAACATTCAGTCAATCATCTGTGTTCTTAATGACAATCTGTGATTAAGGCCAATAAAACAATCAAAAACAATCACTCCTGTTGTCCAGTGGCACACTGTGTTACTTAATGGAAGTTTCCACTGATGCTAGCGTGACTTAAATGTGTTTTGTTGATTAAAGAAGCCACTAAAGGAGTGTCTGGTCCATCAGCCTCTGTGGACATCAAAACAGATACAATCATCATAATTAATACTGATCCAAGTTCAACATTGAAAGTATAACAGTCACATAGTTGCAATATGGAAACAACATCACACAATGCACTAAACCCTGACTCTAACCCCATAACCCTGGGAATTCACGGACACAAAAAAGGACAACATTGAAAATAAATACTTACTTACACTGAAAATAAAAGACATTCATTCTTACCTAGGGACTGACCTCAATTTGGAAAGGGATGTGGGGTTGATGCCCTGTGCACTTCCTGTTCCTCCTTCGGGTGCAACGAATCTAACCCCATAACCCTAACTGTACCCTAGTAACCTTAAACCTAGCCACGGTTACATCCTAACCCCCAACTCTAAACCTCATGGTACCTGCCACCTTTTTGGATTTTTTTCCTGAGTTTCCTAAAATGTTTTTGTGCTATTATGTAAAAAGCACAAATTGGCTCTAACCACAGCAGAAGGGGGAGGCCACAGAGAGCAACTGTACATCAAAGTCTTTAGTTTGAGAAGCAGGCATTTCAGGTTGACCGTGTAGGTCCTCAGTTATCAGGTCATGGTAGTCTTAGAAGGTTAAAAAGAAGTGGACTGGACTTGTTTAAGTTCTTTGAAGACATTTCATCTGTCATCAGAGAGACTTC